ATCAATTAGTTAAAAATCATTGTAATAAAACAATATGCAAAAATATATTACATTTATAATTAAGTCATTATAAAAATATTTTTTTTCATTTAAAAAAGTTTAAGGTTAAAAATTATGAATTTAATTTTAATACAAGGTTGAATTAGTATTAAACAACCTTAACACACTAATATGCGACAAGTCTAATTTGTCATTTCTTTTTTCAATTGTGTATTTTCTTATCCTAAATTTAAATTATTATTTAAAATGAGAATTTAATCTTAGTAGAAAAGGCTATAGGCTTCTTCATGTAGCGGTTCTAAGAATGATCACACGCACGAGATGAGATGTTTATAATTAAGTGTTGTTAAAATAGGTTAGAACTCGTAAGTTAACTCGGTCCACCACAGGTTCAAGAGTTAGGATGGATTTGAAAAATAAATAAATTATACGGGTCAATTTTTAACTCTACTTAGAAACCGACTTATTTAAAACCCAGCTCACTCGGGTTGAACCCATAGTGAGCGGTATTGACTCACTAAACTACTTAGTTTAATTTAATTATTTATTGTTTTATGTTTTTATATTATTAGTTAACATTTTTTATTGTATTGTAAATGTAAATAAAGAAAAGATGTTTCAAGATAACAAAATATTATAAATTTATCAATTTAAAGACTCTAATATTATAAATGGATAAGTGTCACAAAAATTATCAATAAATTTATTTATTTGCTTTTTGGATTTGCTCTTGCATTACATCTAAATTGTATATTAATGTTTTTATTTTGAATTGTCTTTGAAGTTTAACATCATTTTAGAGTGAAATTATTTAAATTTGAATTAAAAAAAATTGTAATTTTTTTTAGATTTAAAAAAAACTTGTAATTAATTGAATCAACGAGTCAAGTTTAACCCACTAACTTGTGGTGGGGCAGGTTAGGTTCAAATTTTTTTGACTCAATAATAAATGAGTATTGGATTGCTTACTAAATGGTCAGCTGTGATGGATCAGCGGGTGATACATTTTGACAACACTAATTATAACTGTAATTTAAAAATATAATATATATTAATGTGATTCAAGAAGATATATTATTAAAATATTAATATGGTTCTTGAAAATAGCAACGAACTGAGTTTTCTTTTATAAAGAGTGTTCCTCCCTCCCTACGTCTTTTTACTTTCTTTTTACACTTTCAAAATTTCAATTTTATTCTTTTTATTAATACGAATTTAAAAAATTATTAAACTTTAATCAACGAATTTTGAATCGGTTTTCAAAAACCAGTTGAGAAACTTTTTTAATTGATTTTCAAAAAATGATTAAAAAAATTCTTTAACCAACTTTCGAAAATATTAATAATCGATTAAGAAAATTCCTTAACAACCTTTTAAAAGTCGATTTCTTTTTTTTAAAATTTTTTTATTTTAATTTATTTTTTCGTTTTTTATATATAATAATAATTATTATTATTTTTTATTATTATAATAATATTATTATTATTATAATTATTAAAAAATGAAATAGTAAATTAAAAAAATTTAACTGACTTTAAAAAATATTAATAAAATTCTTTTTCAAAAATGGCTTAAGATTTTCTTTTTAATTTTTATTTTATTTTAGTTTAATTATTTGTTTTTATACTAAAAAGAACAATAATATTATTAATAATAAATTTCCAAAGCCTATTAACATGTTTTTTAATTTTGTTTTTTAATTTAAAAGTTAACATAGTTTATTAGTAATTAATGAGGTATAACAAACCATTCTAGCAATGACCGCTCTCTTTAGTTTTCAGTCCAATTATTTAAACATAAAAAATGAGGAAATGCCTATTATATTTGGTTCTGGTTTTGGTGTGGAAGTTGACTATGTCTCAGAGGCTAATTAACTCGCGAGTATTCAAATTGGATTTGTTAAGTTACTGCAAATATATGTATACACACAGAGACACACGATGAAGCTTACATTATAATACAAAAAAATGATAACTGTGTTGTTGAGAGGTTTGAGAGAGAGATATAGAAAGGGGGGTATAATAATTGTTACATGAAGTATTGAATATATCATATGCATAACATGTGTTTGACATTATGTTAGACCGAGATAGGCATGGAAGGGTTGAGAAAGTTAGGTAGTGGGAGTGTTGTTATGTTTGGTCAAGGAAGAGTCATGGTAAGAGAGAGAAAAAGAGGGTGTAAAAATAGGATGAATTTGAAGGCTGTCCGGGTCCTTCTCGCGTTGAATGCAAAGACAATGTGGTGAGACCAAGAAAAAAGAAAAAGAGACTTGGTCAACATCTCTCTGCATGCATGCAACCTAACTTGTTTCTCTCACCATCTCCTATTCTTGGCTCTTCCTTTTCTTCTCTCTTTCTCCACATTCTTCCAATGCCATCAAAACTTTTCCACCCTCCAACCCTTCATTCTTCTTCTTCCTCTTCTTCTGCACCCTCGTCACTACCTCCTAATTTCTCCTCCGTTCTGGGTCAGCCCCTCTTCAGGGCGCGCACGCCGCCCCTAGTGCCTACCATTCACTATGGCACTAAGTGGTAGGCATTGCTGTATCATCTTCATCGTTTTTGAATTAGCATCCTTCTTTCCTCTCTCTTATGCCGCTTCTGACTTAGAATTGCTCCTCAAAATGAAAGAAAGCTTAGAAAACTACGGTTCCTCCTTGGACTCCTGGAACTCTACCACTCCTCCTTGCACCGATGGCCATGCCAACTGGCGTGGCATTCTTTGCTACGAAGGAAAAGTGTGGGGCGTGAAGCTTGAGAACATGGGGCTCCAAGGCCTCATTGACATCGATTCTTTAAAGGCCTTGCCTTACCTAAGAACCTTGAGTTTCATGAACAATAGTTTGGAGGGTCCATGGCCAGAAATTCACAACTTGGTTGGTCTCAAGTCTATTTACCTTTCCAATAACAAGTTTTCTGGGGAGATTCCTTATAGAGCCTTCGAGGGGTTGAAGTGGTTGAAGAAAGTTTATCTGTCCAACAACCAGTTCTCCGGTTACGTTCCAACTTCGCTCACGGTGTTGCCGAGACTCATAGAGCTCAGGTTGGACGGGAATGAGTTCACTGGTGCCATTCCCCGTTTTCATCCCCTCAACAGATTGAGATTGTTTAATGTTGCTAATAATCAGTTGCAGGGTCAGATTCCTTCCACCATTAATAGAATGCCGGCTTCTTCCTTTGCTGGTGAGTCACCACAAATTCCAATCTCTCCCTATTCGATTATTACAACATACGTATAACATGCACAAAAACATAGGAACAAGTGAATTTTAAACTTTAACTCAATTTTATATTCTATAAACTCACCATAAAAATGAGGAAATTGATGACTGTCGAACTCTGGAAATTGATTACTAGACACTCAAATTTAGTCGGTTGATACCGAAGAGATGAGGAATAAAAACGTATAATATAAACGAGATGTAACAGAAAACAAAACAAAGTCAAAAGTTGCATGCCTAATGTTTGAAGTGATATAGTATCATTCAATCTAAACTAGTACATGAAATGAGCAGGTAATGAAAGGTTATGTGGAGCCCCATTTGAGTCATGCACCTCGAAGCCCTCCACTGCTAGCGTCGTTGGAGCAGTGGTGGTTGTTTGCCTGGCGGTGCTTGTGATTGGAATAGTAGTGCTCATGATTCACAAAAAACAGAACGGAGCGTGTGCAGCGAAATTGGGGAATCCACCCAGCAGCATCGGCAAAGGGCGTTTGAGGGACGTGGGTGATGAGAGCCGCAGGTCCGCAGGGTCAATGAGCTCCACAGACACCAGAAAAGCTGAACACTTGAGACTCTCTTTTCTGAGAGATGACAGAGAAATGTTTGACCTGCAAGAGTTGCTGAGAGCTTCTGCGGAGATTTTGGGAAGTGGCTGCTTCAGCTCTTCATACAAGGCTGCTTTGGTGAATGGGCCAACAATCGTGGTGAAGAGGTTCAAGCAGATGAACAATGTGGGGAAGGAAGAGTTCCAAGATCACATGAGAAGGCTAGGGAGGTTGAGTCATCCTAATTTGCTTCCTCCAGTGGCTTATTATTACAGAAGGGAAGAGAAGCTCGTGGTCACAGACTATGTTCGCAATGGAAGTCTCGCTGTTCGCCTTCATGGTATGTATTATCAATTTTTTTCACCCTTTTTTGTTCATGAATTGAAACTCATTAGCACTTCACCATTCGTAAATTGGCTCTCTCTTCATTGAAGTCAAGAAGTTGATAGATAGACTTAGAATTTTAGGAAGGGTACATATTCTTAGATACATAAATGGTTTCTTGTTTCAGGGCACCAATCCCTGGGAGAACCAAGCCTTGAGTGGCCAATCCGGTTGAAGATTGTGAAAGGCATAGCAAAAGGTCTTGAATATCTATACAGGGACATGCCAAGCCTAATTGCCCCACATGGAAATCTGAAGTCTTCTAATGTTCTGTTGAGCGAATCTTTTGAGCCTCTTCTGACAGACTATGGCCTAGTTCCAATGATAAACCAGGAATTGGCTCAGGACATCATGGTGATATACAAATCTCCTGAGTATTTGCAACAAGGAAGGATCACAAAGAAGACTGATGTGTGGTGTCTTGGAATACTGATTCTGGAGATCTTAACTGGGAAGTTCCCAGCAAACTTTTTGCAAAAGGGTAAAGGGAGTGAGGTGAGTTTGGCAAGTTGGGTGGATTCAGTGGTGCCAGAAGAGTGGACCAATGCTGTGTTCGATCAAGAAATGGGGACAACTAAGAACAGTGAAGGAGAGATGGAGAAGCTTTTGAAGATTGCTTTGAATTGTTGTGAGGCGGATGTGGATAAGAGGTGGGATTTAAGGAAGCTGTAGAGAAGATTCTTCGAGGTGAAGGAAAGGACGGTGATCAAGAAATTTTTTTAACTTCTTATGCTAGTGATGCAGAATTGATTTCCTCAACTTGAAAATGTTGAGACCGCCTTAGTTATTGGTTCATTCCTTGATTTTATGTCCTTCTCAGAGACATGAATCAGATATGAATTAGTTTACCTGAGACATCTTCTTCATCTTACTTGTTATCTTTCATGCTGTAATAATCATACTTGCTCAAAAAAAATGGAGGAAAAACTAAATTAATGAAAAACATATCGGCTTCACCTTAAAATTTAACAACCAATGCCCTGCTTGATTGTCTTTCAGAATATGCTTAAATTCATTTTCTAAATGATTAAGCATAAACTTACATAACTATATATCATTATTAGTGATGATGTGTATTTTTTATCTTTTAATATTTTTTTAGCAAATTTAACTTCTAAATTTCCTTTTTGTTTGTTTGGTAAGGTTAAACGATCAGCTATCCGCATAACAAGTACACCAAGTGTAAGGGTGTTACTCCCTCCACCCCCACACGTCTCTTCCTCCACTCCCCAATTTTACTAAAGTGTCAATTATATCCTTCTAAAATGACAATTATATCCTCAAAAGTTAAAATTTTTATGTATTATTAAATTTTAATTATTTAAGAATTCTGATTACTCCTCGGCAACCTCTCCTCCGTCCATTTCGTACCTCGCGCTTCCGAAGCTCGTCCTCCACCTAGTAACAAAGTTCAAAAACAAACGAGATTAACAAAATATTACGTTTAAAAACTACCATATAAACATTTAAAATATAAATTTAAATATAAATTACTGTAAATAAAAAAAACAAATAAAATAAAAACGAAACGTAAAAGGAACACTGCCTCTGACGATGACATCCTTCAAGGATGTCAACATCCGTTGAAGGCAAAACGGATGTCGACATCCGTTTTGCCTTAAACGGATGTCGACAATCCGTTTTGCCTTAAACGGTTTCTGATGTTGACCGTGTGAAGATGTCACCGTCCATAGGCAGTGTTCCTTTTACGTTTCGTTTTTATTTTATACGTTTTGCGGCTCTGCAAGGATTATAGGCTTGGATATTAAAAGGATTATTGGAAGTATGGAAAGGTTTAGGGTTTAGGATTATTGGAAGGATTATGACTACGTACCTGGAGAGGAACCACGAAAGGACACTACCCATAAACGCACTGCACCACGTACTGCACCGAGAACAAGAAGAAGATTGTTTGATAATTCTTTCACGATCACCAAGCTTTGTAGAAAAATATTTTACTCATACAAGAAACTACGTAGGTGTATCAGTGAAATATGTTATAAATGAATAAAAATTAAAAAACAAACAATTTTAAAAATAAAATTTTACTGGGGCAAAATAGTAAAGGAAAGGTGAGGAGGAATGGGGCAAAATAGTAAAGGGAAGGTGGAGGAGAGATGTGTGGGGGTGGAGGGAGCAACACCCCAATTGTAATAACAAAGTAATAAGTATTTTATGGTTTCGTCTAATTATTTATGCAACACTTAATAAAATCTATAACTCAATTTGACAATAATGTTTACGAAATAATACTTTGATATTTTTATCAAATAGTTTATACATTAACATAAATTATTTACAATCGTTAAATGATTTAATGCACAAGAAATATATGTTAACAGGTATTTCAAATAAGTTTAAAATATTTTTTAAACTTTTTTGTTTCAAATTTTTTAAACATGTTTTATTTGTTTTTATTTAAAAATAATCTTTTAAAAATTAAAATATTAATGTATATTAAATTATAAAAAATATTAAATTAAATAAATATTTATTAAATTTTAAAAATATGTGAAAATCCGGTTAACATTTTGCAATATATTAAAATATAATATTATTATTATATAAAACAAAGAAATAAACTAAAATAAAAAAAATTAAGAAAATTATTTTTAATCAAAGTTAAAGAATTTTCTTAACAAACTATTATAATAATAGTAATGAATAATAATGAATATGAGATTAATAAATAATTTTATATAAGAGGAGACTAGTTAAAACAAATTAAATTAAAATAAAAATTTATAAAAATAACGAGTCTTAATATTTTTTTAATTAACTTCTAAAATTCAGTTAAAAGAAATTTGAAGTGATATTTCAAAAGCTAGTTAAGACTTTATCCACTTTCCAAAATTAATTAAAATCTTAAACGATTTTCATAATTTATAAAACTTTTAACTTATCTTTGAAAGTTGATTAATTTTTAATAAAAGATAATTGTTTCGGGTTTGGTGTGACCCTACTAAAACACTCCTAATTGTATTGAAGACATAGGGGATACTAGGAACGGACGACAACACTATTCACAGCGTTTGCAGGATGAGACTGGCGGACTTTACTCCAAGGGGCGACCATTGGGAGCTGGACGAACGTGAAGAATGGTCGGACGTATCTCGCTCTCCCTCCTCCAAGCTAGGTGGGGGAAGTACCTGTTAAGGGGCTCCGATGCTCAAGTCAGTAAAATGACTGAACGATTATAAAAGATGTTAATAATGCATGTGTATTGTGCAACGTGTGCCGTCTGCCCAAAAATATACCTGAGACTCTTATTTATACTGGTTGTAATGAACTTTTACCTTTTGCGGACCTAATGACGGCCCAATCACGCCGTAATCTTCATTAAGGATTATAATGAGTTATTATCGTTTGTAATCTGATCATATGACCGGTCGGCCGATATGTGTGGTCAGTCTGAATAGAATAGTTCGGTTTACGAGATCGGAAAAACATATAATATACGACCTTTAGGAAGATTGAACTCAGGAAATCGCTCGATTTTGGATGTGTGAGAGACCGTACGGTACACTGGGGACCATACGGTACAATAATAAAATTGAAATTTTAGAGTAAAATAGGGTAAGATGAAACCATTTTTATAAAATGTGTCCGAAATATACTTCTTACCCGATAGAGCAGCCTTTCTTTGATTTCTCCGCCGTCAGAAATGGCTTACAAAAAGAGAAAGAGAGTTGAAATTATCTATTCAACTCTTACCTTATAAACATTTAAATCAGTTTTGTTCGACAACCACTCTCTTAACATTTATAGAACGAGATAAGAGAGATAAAATTCAAAATAAGTACAAATTAGTTTTCTTAAATTGTTGAAACCAAACAGCAAATTGCTTAAATAGACTACTTTATATGGTAAATATCTTACATATTTAGATCTATTAATATATTACTGCATACAGATCATCTAACTGTTTATTATATTTTAGTCTCACAAGTTTATTATAACGAATTTGATTTCAATTTTTAAATTAAAAATATTTTAATATCTCAAATCTTAAAAAAATACACTTTTAATCTTGAACACTAAATTTGAATATTTTAAATGTTTTTTGTAAAACTGTTTTTAATATTTAATCTCTAAACGCACTTTTTAAATTAAAATGACCAAAACTTTTTTTTTTTAAAACGGAGCAATTCCAAATTTGATATAAAAAGCATAACTAAACGTAATAATTGTAAGAAAACATGAAAAATATCTGAGAGGGGGTGAAAAAATTGAGGGTGATTAGGATACGATGTTGGTACTATCAAAACAAAAACGGCGTCGTTTGAACGAAAGAAGAGGGAGATGAGATAAATGAAGAAAACTGAACACCATCTCCTTCAATACGTTTCTGTTTCTTCAGCTTCTTCTTCTATCGCTGCTTCAATATCTTCTTCTCCTTCTCCCATTTCCATCCAACCATGCTTCATCGCTCACTCCTCTCCAACCATTCGCTTCTTTGTCTTCCTGCTTATCAATCGCCTCTTGCAGAACCTCTCCAAAGCCCATCCATTACCTACTATCCAGGTTGCAGGTAAACAATCCTGTCCCTCCATTCTTTTCTTTAAAATACTTTTTCCCTCATACCACTTATTTCATCTTTTATTTTCAATAAGAAGAAGATTCAAGGTTAAACCCTTAAGAGTTTTTATTTACTTGGGTTTTTTCATACTCGGTTTTCGAAAATTTAATCCTTTATAATGAAAATTTGACTCAATTGGATTTGGGTGTTGTTTTCTCCACCACCCCAAGTTGCTTCTGCAATTTTTTAGGGTTTTGGGTTTTGGGTTTTTACTGTTTTTTTTTATTTCAAAAATATTATACACTTTTCCATTATTTTCTTTTATTCCAAAAATATCTTATCTCTCTCCATTGTATTGAACAATTTTTCTCTTTCTCTCTCCATATTAATAGAGCATTCACATGACTCAGATTTAAACTTGTGATATATTGCGAAATTTTATTTACATTTTCCCTTAAATAAGTTTGATTCAATCTTATTTTCACGGTTCAATATTTTTTTTTTCAAATTACTTAATAAATGGTAAAATTTTGTTCTAAATTTCTAGAAAAATATTTATATATATATGTGTGTTTTTTTTACATTTAATATTTATAATTTTTAACATTATATTATGTTTTAACTTACCACGGTTAAATATGTTTTTCGTCCCTTAAGTATCACACAATTTTGTTTTTAGTCCCTACTCAAAACTTTGATGGTTTTTAGTCCTTATAGTTTTGAAATTCTGACTATTAGTCCTTAAAATTGGACGGTGTTAAGTTTTAGTGGATGTGGCAAACGGCGATGCCACGTGAAATATCAGTTGCTCTCTTCACTCTCTGCCATGTTGGATGTTTAAGTGTTGAACTGAGATTAAGTATGTTAATTACGTTCTTGATTGAAATCAAATTTAGGGTTCATAATTTGTCAAAGTAAAATTTTCAATTGGGGGGAAAAATATTTTACTCGAAGCATTGTACTCCAAGCATTGTACTTGAAACCTTTCACTCGTAATATATGAACAAGAAGAATAATAATTATAGTAGCAATACAGGAGAAAAGAAAAATTACCGTTTTCCCTTCAATTGCAAATTGAAAGAGACGAATATTCTGTGACTGAAGGAACTAACTCTAGATTTTCCTCAGGATAAGGCTCGGGGCACAGGTATTTGCACCAATTCGCAACCTCGTATTTAAGTTTCACGCTTAAACATTAAAAAACACAACAAAATCTGCGGAAAAATCAAAATATGAGACACATTACAGAATTCTTTAATTTAATTCTTTATTTGAGGGGAGCGGAAGGGGAAAAAATGAAATCAAGCGTGAAAGAATCTTGAAAAATGA